ATGTAAACAGTGCCCCTGGGCACCTTCACTAACGCAGAGTCTCCAGCCCGAGCTGCTGGACAAGGTGCACACCATATGCCTCCACCGATGGCGCCACCATCGGAACTAAGTCAGGACGAGGGAGGTAGCACGGATGTCCAACAGATGACCGAGGTAGACCTGGGTGCAGCGATATTAAAGCTGCGTGCTAAAAACACCGCCCCAGGCCCCGACGGAAAACCTGGTCGTGCACTGGTGCTGACTTTAGGCCCCCTAGAGCCACGAACGAGGGCGCTCATGAGCGCGTGCCTAGAACAGGGTAAATTTCCGGAGAGATGAAAGACGGACAAGCTGGTTCTGCTACAAAAAGAGGAACGATCGACTGACTCGCCATCGGCGTACAGACCGATCGTTCTGCTAGATTTTTTTTTTAATGAGACGAGCAAGCTCTTCGAGCATGCTCGCCTCATCAGGCATCTGGAGGGGATGGAACCTAACCTCAGCACCAAGCACTTTGGTTTCCAAAGGGGCAGGTCCACCATTGACGCCATTGCGCGAGTATTGTCGGCGGTGTCTCTTGCTTCTACATCGCCAATGCTTTTAACATGCTGCCCTGGCTTTTAACATGGAACTTGAGCGCCTCCAATGTGGTGGCACATTGGAGGCGCTCAAGTTCCATCGCGTACCCGAATATCTACGGAAGACGGTAAAATCCTATGTCTCTGATAGAGCCGTAGTTTACCCGAACCGCGATGGAATGGGTCGAAAGTGCGTGTCGTGCGGTGTGGAACATCAGGTACGACTGGGTGCTGCGGAGGGAGTGCCTTGTTGGAGTTGACGTGGTGTGTTACGCCGATAACTCCCTTTTTTTTTGACGGGTGGACATCTTTATGGATACCCCTGAGCCCAGGGAGACTCAGGGGTTATGTGGGGACTCTCCCTCCAGACTGGAGGGCCTACCCCACTAAAACCCACCCGGGTTTCCCTCTCGCCGGTTGAGTCGGCGCCGTGGGATCAGTGAACATTCACCACGACGCCGCCCGGCCGCCCTAGCTTACGCCAGGGCTCCCGCGCCAACAGAGGGGCGAGTCGGTTGTCCTCCGACCCACCCCCCAGATGAGTGAAGCCGTGCAATGCAGGATGAGATGAGATGCTTCAGGGCAATGCGAAGGACTCGTCCCGGTACCCCGTCCGGGCCGGGAGCCTTCTTCCGCCCTCGCAGCTGTTCCACCGCCCACTCCAACTCCCCCTCGGTGTTTTCCGGGGGGGGGGGGTTCCTCAGTCTGCCCCCCATCTGCTCTGGAGGGCACCATGGCCGGTGGGGTGAAGGGCTGCGGTTCGGGGAAAAGGCCCTCCACCACCCGGTTGAGGAGATCCAGCTCCAGTGACTCCATGGGAGATGCGCCGTACATTTTGTTGCGCACAACTTTGCACGGCCTCCCCCATGGGTCCGCGTCCAGGGTGGCCAAGAACTCCTCTTTCGCGGAGTCCTTGACCCGCCCTATTGCGACCTTCAAGGCCTGCCTCGCGCCATGAAGGGCACTGTGGAGCCTTCTCTCCTCACTTTGGGTGTGGCGCCTGCGGCGGCATCGGCCATGGGCCCGCTGGGCCGTTGTACTGGCGGTGCGGAGGTCCCCAATCTCCGCGGTCCACCAGTAAACCCTCCTTTTGGCATGGCCCGCTCGCAGACGGCGGTCAAGTATTCCCGGAACTTGACCGCCCTCTGCTCCACGTCGACGGTGGCCGGTGGGGGGAGGGGGGGCACCACGCCTGGACCATGGCTGCTTCCTCTGCAAGCTCGTAGTCCAGGCGGGTGAGTGCCCATTTGGGAAAGCCCCCCCCGGGGGCCGTGTTGGAGGCCGTCGTGGGTTACGTATGGGAGACCCTCATCCGTATGTATTTATGATCGGAGAGGGTCTCCTGGTCCTCCAGGACCTGCCAACCGGATACTCGCGCCGCTAGTGAGGGGGTTGCAAACGTGACGTCCTCGATTGACCCCCCATTTCGCCGAACGCACGTGTTGGCATGGCCCCGGTTGAGGATGGCTAGCCCTAAGACTGCCGCCCAATTCTCCAACTCTGGCCCCCTGGCATTGCTGACCGAGGAACCCCACGCAGCGCTCTTGGCGTTGAGGTCCCCCATCACCAATACCGGCGCCGGAGCTGCCCTCCTCACCGCCCTCTCTAGGGTCTCCAGGAACGCCTGAAATTGGGCCAGGGAGCGATTTGGAGAGAAGTACACCCCAATTAGGATGACTTCTCCCCACCTCGCCGCCACGAACCCTGACCCGCATTCCTTCACCACTAGATGGGGGTAGTTCCCGGCAGTCGACGCCACTATGGCCACCGTCGCCTCCCGATCCGATCCCAGTTTCCTCGTGGGGGAACAAAGTATGGCTCCTCCACAACCGCCACCGCAACCCCCCACTCCGCCATGGCCTGCACCAATAGGTCTTAAGCCCTGGTGCAGTGGTTGAGGTTGCCCTGCAGTATTGTGTGGTGGCGTGCTGGCATCACTTGTCCATACTCTACTCTACGGTGACCCTCAGATACGCCGATGACACCCTGGTTACAGCCCTAGGTCGCACGCATCGGGAGGCCGAGTTGCCCATACAGTGGCAAGGATACGGTGGCTGGGGCTCGAGGTGGCGCTAGAGAAGTCCAAGACTGTGTGTTTTCATGGGCCTCGGAACGCACCGCGCAAGGGCATGACATTGTTGGTGGGAGGAACCTCCAGAACTGTTAAGAGTACCATGAAGTACCTGGGACTGGTCCTTGACAGTCGATGGAGGTTTGAAGAGCATTTCCGGCTCTTAGCTCCAAAGTTGGTGGGTACAGCCTCCGCCCTGGGTCGGCTTTTGCCGAATGTGGGGGAGCCGAGCGCTAGCTGCCGACGCCTGTATATAGGGATGGTGCGCTCGATGGCCTTCTACGGGGCGCCCATATGAGCGAACAGCACCAACGCTCAGGGCAAGACAATGTTGCGGAGACCGTAACGGGTTCTAGCGGTCAGGGTATCGAGTGCATACCGCACCACTTCTTACGAGGCGGCCTGCGTCATGAGCCATCTATTGGCGGACAGCGAAACTGAGGTCCGAAGGGAAGGAGCCACTTCTGGAGCACATTCATCGATGGCGGACAAACATCCGCCGGGTCGTGTTCCGGAAGTGGCAAGGGATGCTAGAAGAGCCGAGATCTGACCACTGGACCATAGGAGCGATTCGACTCGTTCTGGGAGAATGGGCGGATCGATCCTGGGGAGGAGTCTCCTTCCACCTTGCGCAGGTCCTGTCAGGGCATGGCCGTTTTGGTAAATACCACGCAGGATGGGACGAGAACCGAAGGCCGTATGCCATCAGTGTGGTTGTGCCGAAGATACGGCGCAACACACACTGCAGGCATGTCCGGCGTGAGAGGACCAGCGGTCGTCCCTGACCACAGTGGTAGAACACGATCTCTCCCTGCCAACCTTAGTTCGAGCTATGGTCGGTAGCGAGACGGCGTGGAGTGCGGTAGCCTCTTTCTGCACTGATGTAATGTCGCGGAAGGAGGCAGAGGAACGGGAGTGAGAGGAAGATCCTTCCTCTCATCCTACGCGCCTCAAACGCTTGGGGCGCAGACGGATGGCTTATGCCCGCCAACTGCCGCCCTGAGAGTGAACCCTGGGAGTCAAAAACGGAGGGCTTTTGTCACCCATTACATAAGGGTTCAAGGGTTGGTTGGTGTGCCAATTATTCTCGGCATGCCACCAACGATAGAGAGGGAATGGTGATCCCCCAAGGGTGAGTCCACGGTGGCGGACAACCACAGATGGGGCCGTGGACCGTAAACCACGTGGTCACAGCCTCGTCCCAAGCGGAGTGTGGGAATACCCGCAGGTTTTTAGAGAGTAAAGGACGTCCTTGACGGATTTTACCCGGAAAAAAAGGGCCCCTGAGAGTCGATACAAACCACTTTGAGAATTATCGCGTTACAAACTTATATACAAATTAAACACTTCGTCCTCATTACCTACTTGCATTTTTTTAAAGAAGATTTTCATGATTACAATATTTACATTTTAAACATGCTTGACATAAGCTACAGAAATATGGCAAAGAAAAATTCTACAACCAGAATAAGAGGAATGTTTTATTCATAAACGAAAGCACTCTCAAGAATTGCCAGTGGCTGCAATCGATACGAAAGTCTCTTGTATTGTATTTATTACATACTTGTATCTAAAGTTTCATAAGTGAAATTACAAACACATGAGACTTAGCAACTTATGTCTCAGGGTGACGACGTGGTAAAGACGGCGGCGGCGTAGTGGCAGTGCCCCTACGTTTTTTAAGATTTTTGTGAGCTCTGAGTGGCACTGCAACTGTTATGGATAGGTGTGTAGTTTACCACCATGCGCACGACTAGTTCGTGCCATCACTTGAAACATTGAAAAAAAAAATTAGGTGAATTAAAAATACGACATCATAACGAAATGTGAGAAAGTTTATATGAATAATGTAATATGTGTTAAATAGCAACGGACCTTTACGATTTTGACATGTTTTTATTAGTTACCAATTACGCAGGCTCCCTTCTTTTGTATGTATATTGCATTTCAAAATTTGGAAAATACGTGTATGTGAAACAGTATTCTTTAAACATTACCATTATGGCCCTATTATAAGCAATAAATGAATTTATATATGACAGCTTGGATTTTTAAAAATATGTATTTCAATACCCACTTTATATAATTTTATGACCAAAGCAACTAATGTAATTTTGGATGTTTAATAGTAACTATTTATTATACTTACGTCACAAATGTTTCCGACAAACCTAATGGTGAAGAATGGTATTTGAACTGTTGAAGGGCTGTTTAATAAATATCCTCGATTTTCCAGTCCTTTCGAAAAATGACTTTGAACATGAATAAAAATGGACCAGTTATACGAGTCCTTGATATTGGTCAATATGTCAACGTAGCGGTCTCACAAGTGTACGGTCAAGGCTCTCGCGCACGATGCATCATGGCCAATCGAAGCGTATGCGCCGTTTGAATGAGACGCGCTCAGTGAGGATTACATTTTTCAAAGTGACAGTAACTTTCATACTTTTTTAAAGTCAAATAGATTAATGTCTTCGTATTTTTGGTAAGTTCTACCGGTGTATCTATAATTATTTTTTACCAAATAAATTGTTACTTAGGAAATTTCGGATCTCAATCGCCTATATTTATTATTTTTCAGTATAATTACAAAAGTAATTATTTAGTAAAATAAATAATTATTTCATTTAATAAACTAATTACTTTTGTAATTACACTGAAAAATATAAATATACGCGATTTACATACGAAAAAATTGGTTAAAATTATAAAAATTAAAACATTAATATTACATTAATAATATAAAATTAATAATAAAAATATATAATAATAAACATTAATAAGTAGTATTTGTTACTTTCTTTATGATTATACTTATTTCTATACATTTAAAGGATGAAATTTAAGTTATTTACTTAGTGCTTTGTGTTTTTTGTAAATTTTAAAGAAAACAAAAATTATTTTGTTTTACATAATTCTTATTAATTGTCACGTACATAAGTCATACAATTTTGTTTGTAATAATTTGCCTATTTACAAAATATTTTTATTGCAGACAATATGGTCATGTTAAAGACTGGATTAGCATTACTTACAATAGCGTTATTCTGCACGCATGCGTCGGACATCGACAGCCATGACAATGTAGTTACGGTACAAGATGAAGCGGACAATTACTTAAAAGAAAAAGAAATAGCACCAGAGGATAGCTACAAAAAGGGAAGAATATTATGGCCCTATCCACTGACTCATGATAAAAACCCTTTGGATGTAAAGAGTGAAGAAAATACAAGTGTGGATACAGAAAATAAACAAGAAATGGAAGACAAATCAGAAAAAAGACTTCTATATGAGTATTCCTACATTCAAAGTCCTATAGTCGACCTAATGAAGCAAAGCATGGCAATTAACTACTTACCGAATAATCCCAAAGATCTTTTTGACTGTTTGAGGGATACTTATCCATTACCTAAAGGTAAGATGATAACGATATTATTACATAAAAAACAAACAGTCTGAATACTACATTTATAAAAATAAAATTTCCCTTAATTGCCCTTACTAAAATAATAACTAAGACAATTTTGGGTTTTCACTATTTAACAAACGCTGTACTTGGTATGCAACAAATAAATAATTAAATAAGTACAGCTCGAATTAATTTGTTTGATCCACTAAGTCTTGCCATTGATTGAATAGACCTAAGATTCATTATACTACATCACGGTTCGCATTTTCAATGTTTCTACAAACAGATAGGCCTTTTCAATAAATTATGATTTGTTCTGAGTAAAGGGTATTTGGAAAAGGCAGCCTTGTAAAGGTTTTGATACCCACCGTTTACAGGCTAAGTGCTTCAGCTGGGCCTTTTGTTCGCTTGCAATGCGATCTGAGAAGGTTTCACGTATAAAGTCACTAACCCGTAATGCACTTTCTATAGAAACGGTCTATGCCGTGCAGTGAATCGTATGTGAATTGTTGTTGATGTATTCCAGGCATCCTTAATCCTTATGACGAATACGATTATATAATAGTGGGAGCAGGATCTGCAGGATCTGTATTAGCATCACGTCTAACCGAAGGAAAGCCAAAAGCAACAGTGCTTCTCATCGAGGCGGGAAAACCTGAGATGCTTTTTACAGACGTGCCTATATTGGCACCTTATTTCCAGCTCTCTGAATATTCATGGCCGTATTCTACAGAACCTCAGCCCGGAGTTTGTTTGGGTAAGTGAGTTATTGATTACATCATATCATAGAGTAGTAAAGCGAGAGAGCGATAATTCATTATCGTGGTCATCTGTAAGTCTAATAATGTAGATGTTACTGTCTATAGAAACGTGAAATTCTCTACATTTTAAAACAAATTTTTGTGTTTCAATGTCTGAAGTACATTAATGGTCTTTTTTTTTTCTTTCTTTACTCTGAACATCAAGCTGAGTCTCAAATTGACGGCTGGAGTGGAGGTCGCTTCTCCGGTACTCATAGATCGGGGAATTCTTTATTTTGGAACTAATCAGTGTGATTTATGATACCTTTATTAAACATTGCACGTTTTCGTACGTAACTTAATGATAAATTGACCTTTTAATTTACTTATGCAGTTAGGCATTTTCAGTTTTTATGGTCATTTGAAAACAAAACAATACAGTTACAAGCGACTTCCTAATGCAAGCATCACGATTTGTACATATTTATACGCTATTCTAGAGTATGTATACTATTCAAAGTGTGGCATTTAAACAGTATACAGGTCAAGTACCTGCTTCAATATTTTCTGAACTTGAGTTTTGCGACTAATATATAACGAGTATCAAGTAATGTTGGTCATCGTCGATCGGTCGACAAACAATTTTTAAGGAGCTTTAGCAAAGTTCTAGAGTACGATACGTGTTCGGTTGTGAACCATGGGTGAGGATGAGAATATTGTGAGCTAAGAATATGGTGAGTTAAGAATTTGGTAACCTGCTCACAAAGGGACCAGTGCACCCTTTTATACACGTAACAGTATTCACAAGGGCAGTGTGTTGTGGTCTGTTCGTAATTGTATTAAATATTTGTTAACATAAGATCAATGAAGCGGGAGTGGAGTGTGCTGTGGTTGTGGCCTATCCATTATTGTGTCAAAATTTCCATTGAATTGAATTAATATGAATGAATAAATAATACTTCTTTAAAATTTTAAATATGGTTAAAAAAATCAAATCAAAATCAAAATAATATAAATACTGCGGTCTGGTTTTGAAGAGTAAGTGTGCTGGTAAAATTACAGGCACATGGGACTTGTCAACTTATGTCTCAGTTACGGGCGTAGTGGCAGTGCCCTTCTGATCTTTGTGATTTAAAGCTCTAACAATGAGCGTCTTTCTGCATTGTACACATATCATAGCAAATCTTTTCGAAGCGCAGATTGAATTTGCATTTATCACTTATGATGTAGGTAGGACAATATTGAAAACTGCATGTAGCAGAAGGTTCATAAAATGTTTTGAAATATAAAGTTCATAATTCGCAAGTCATAGGAGAAACGTGGTTAATATATTGTGTATTAATACAACATCGACATCATCTACAACCCGCTTTACTTCACTCTCATTACTACGCTTCACAATATGTCACGTCAGCTCCATTTTCGACCTTAGTTTGTCTTCGGATTTCGGAGATCGATCTGTACTTCTTCTTATTCTTATAGAGCCTCTCCACTACTGGAGGTTGGCCGTGAATATGGCAAACTCGTCCCTACCCATGGTCAAACGAAACAGTCAACTCCCTTATGTTGCATAACTGTGACTTTGTACGTCTTCCAGCGACTTCGACTGCAACCTTTCACATCATTATATGAGTTAAGCAGTCGGTATCTATCGTGTCGCAGCACCTCACCGAGATATACGATTTTGCATAACGATTAAACGAATTAACGATTGGTCAGATATTAGCGTTCATATCTCGACACCATAAGTCATGGTGTGGTCGACAAGCGGGTCTTGAAAGATAAAAAAATTAAAAACCATCCTAATTGTATGTGATTTATGATCACCTTTTGCTGATGTTGTTTACCAAAAGTCACAATAAACATAACCAATTATCCCCACTCTTATTACAGTCTACAAAACCAGGATTTGTGTTTATTGGAACAAAATCATCGCAATCACAGATGCGGGTGATTCAAAATTATATGCCTATGGCAGGCAACACATTTCCGATATTTTGTTATTACAGCAAATGACTACAGCTGATGGTTACTGCTTCCGTCAGGGCGGTCAAATGTTTTGCTGTCTTGTAAGATAAAAAAAATCAGAGTGGAACTGCGTCAGGGTGCAAAGCCGTTAGGTTTACTTGAAACGTTTACATTGGTTGATCTATTTCGTAACGTTCTAGTGCAAATTTTTACCATGTTCGTAATTTGTTTCGGTGCGATATTAAAAAAATTTCACGATAAAAATATTTGCGATATCGAAAATAGACTATTGGTACACTTTTTGTGTGTATGTTAACCTCGCTAATAACTTTTTTTATAATATCAAGTGACGGGGCGAACAAGTCGTGCGCCTGATGGTAAACTACACGCCTGTCCATAACAGTTGCAGTACCACTCAAAGCTTTAAAACGCAAAGATCTGAGGGGCACTGCCACTGCGCCCGTCAATTTAAGACATACGTTGACAAGTCTCATGTGCCGGAACAGTAATGCTGCTAACTCAAAACCGGACCACAGTAATGCTGACATTAGTGCTTGGCGGCAGAAATAGCTTGGCAGTACTTCACTGAACGAATTCTTTCACCAGGAGCTCTAATGCTAATAATGCCAGTAATACTAACTGACACTTTTAAAACTGAGAAAGGTTTTTTTTTCCTTTTTTTGTCTCCTCTGGGAGGTTGGACTGTTGTCCAACATGTGTCATGCCGCTATAAAGAGCGAGGTGGTATAGCAGCCGAACTATTACTTCAAATTCTTTAACCAGAAATGCCGCCTTCTACTGACACTTCGTTTTCCAGGGATTTTGCCCTGGATGATAAGCTCATTCGTTTCGTTTCAGTCATTTATACTTATTGTTCCTCATGACGTGGCCGAAGTGACAAAGTAACGTCCAGATTATTAAACGACATGACAATGAGAAATTGTTGACTTGCTCATCAAGCTCTTCCATAATAGTAAGACAATCAACACAGTCTTGTATGAAACTTCACTAGAGCACAGTTTAAATATTTGCTGCTTGCTAACATTTACTCGCGGAAATACATTCATACACAATATTCCAACAGTATTACCTACCTATTGAAATAAAATATTCAGTACTATCTGTGAGTAATAGATGTAGTATCAATTTACTTATCCACTTTTTTTATTAGTGATTTTTACTTACTACCTAAGACGTAATTAATTAGGCTTATGACTACAGATTTCTAAACACAACAGGTTTCAAGTTCCTGTGAACATTTTGTCAGTCATTCTCGGACTAGTATTTAAATAACAAAAATTGCCACGGAAATTAGGTAGTGAACACTAATTCAAGAATGACCATTGTAAGGCTTTTACGAAGTGAGAGGCATGCGACTTAAATATTCATAATTTATCTTTACACTTATTTATTGGTCTTAGTTTAACCTAACACTAGCTTAAGTATTTTTCGTTGCTAACAAATATTATGGATGAATGTAAGTCTGAAATAAATGGATTATTATTATTATTATTATTATATTATTATTAGTTTGCAGTTTCGTAGTTTGGATAGGTTCTAGAAGCCACTAGGTCTTAGAGGATGGCAAATTCCATAGTCTAAGCACTAGATACACGTTCAAGAGCACGTCGAGTTTGACATTTAAAATAAAACTATTTTTTTTTTCAGATCTGAATCGCGTATGTTTGTTTTTACAAACAAACCAAAATTAATGTATATTTGTTTGAAAAAACAAATATACACGATTTTCATTTCAAAAAAATGTTTTATTTCTAATGCGAAAACCTAAGAACTGGATATTCAAATTGTAATTCAACTCTTGTCCGCTTTTAATAAGAACGGTTCAAAGTCCAAAGTGACAAGCCTAATGTATAATTCTGGACTACAGTCAAGAAGAAGTCCAGTAAAAGTGAAATATAAGTGTAACGTGTTATTTTAGTATTTACGGCATATAAATAATTTTCCCAATCGTTTCATGTCCAATGACAGCTTTCGCTCTTCCAAATAATCTCGGATATTGAAGGCGGTCGTATCATTAAACTTTCATGTGCTATGTATGAGGTTTTGGTATACATCAATATATTAACTTGGCTGTAAAACCTGTCATGTACCTACTCTTGACTGTACAAGCATTGTCGAAATGAAAGCTGAGTTTTCTTTGTATAATATTTTCCGGAGTGGTATTATTATAGGTATAGAATGGATAATATAGAATTATAACTTTTTTATAAACAAAAACACTTCAAAAGTTGTGGAATTATATCTCGTCTGTTTAAAGGTAAAACCACATAAGTGACATTTTAAACAAAAACTCTTTCATTTATGTAGCTATGGTTAGAAAATCACTATCTTTCTCTAGTGAAACTCAATAATAACAAAGCGATAAACTCATGAAAGCTGTAAAAAATAAGTGTTTTATCTGCAGAAAGATAGTGATTTTCTTGCAACCGGTACACAATCTAGAGATTTTTTGTGGAAAATATCACTTATGTGATTTTACCTATAGATCGTCTACTATTTGTCAAGTTGTTCAGATCAGTTAATGGAAAGTGGGTGAAATGAAATAAACCGGATTCATCACCTAATTTGCCACCCTTAGAGGTGGAGTATTTTCATAAAATCTGAATAGGACCACTACTGAGGTACCCTCTTTGCACCAGAAAAAGATCATCAAAATCGGTTCACAAATGCTGAAGTAATCGCATAAGTAACATACACACAAAAAATAGTCGAATTGAGAACCTCCTCCATTTTTTGAAGTCGGTATAATGCTATACAAGCAATATACCCTATACAGGTAATCCTATTTCTGAGTCTTTAAAGTTCGATGATTAAGGTCGACCCATCGTTGAATTAAGAGGCCTGACTGTTGTCATAGGCTGACCCATATTTTATTAAAAAAGGTTATTATACAAAGTATTTTAATTTTCAGGCAGTGTAGAGCAAAGGTGCTACTGGCCTAGAGGACGAGCTGTGGGAGGTACCAGTGTTACCAACTACATGCTCTATACTCGCGGCCGGCCGCACGACTGGGACAGAATCGCATCCGATGGAAATTATGGATGGTAATTTAAGAATTTGCAATTTAAGTGGGCAGTTTAGCAACCATGCTTCATACAAACGGAATTTGATCTTATTTTGAATACTTATAAATAAAACTCAATGCAATTTTCTACACACGATCTAAAAACTAATACCTAGATTTCTGGTCCGTCATATAGGACGTCTCGCGGATATGGGACTCGGAGGGAAAATACTTTAAATATTGTAGATAGGATATTTTGCTACATGAAAACATTATTTTTAAAGCTTTATGTTTGAATGCAGTATACTTATACTGCATTCAAACACTTTTGACTGCATTGAAAGACAAAAAGCTGCTTGCTCCACTTAAGAATCAAACCAACAAAATGTGAACAACGTCCCCGTATTTTTATGTTATTATTGTATAATTCCGTTGAATGATTGTATACTTCCTTTAAATTGCTTGTACAAAATTAAACCTTATAATTGACCGTTTCGAGCGATATCATAAAAATACAGGGTTTTTTTCACATGTGGTCGGTTCGATTCTCAGAGAACGCAAGCAACTTTTTAAAAGTGTTTGAATACAGTGTTATTTACTTTTATAAAGCCGGATTTACATTTGGTTAACGTGTCGTGTCGTGACGCGTCAGAAAGGTTTCGGTTTCATACATTTAATATGATTAGATTTATATTAGTGTGCCGCAATCTGACGTGACGGCTTGTGTTTAGTGTATGAAACCGATACCGTTCTGACGCGTTACGACTTGACACCTCAGACAAATGTAAAACGGGTTTTAAAAACAAAATAATGTATCCATAAGCGAAATATTCTGTAGTACTTTCCTGTAGTACTTTCCTGTAGTACTTTCTGTAGTACTTTAAACAAATAACAACATCATGCTAATTTTCAAGACATTGACAAACTAGACAAATACTTGTATAAAGCAAAAAATAATGTACCAGAAGTAATAAATTTATACGAAAATTACACATTGAAATGTTTCCACACGAGTGATGCCTCAATCATACACGCGCTTTGGCGTCATGACTTATTATAAATAGGGATAGCAACAATATTATCAAATACCGAATGTGGCTGCTCGGCCTGGTAAAACAACCCTCTTAAAACAATTCTCGTAAGTAAACGTTTTTGTAATAAGCAATCCACATTTATATTATAAAAGAACCCGTTGCTACCATATTATTCTACAATTAAATTATCTTTTCATAATTATAATTGTTTTAAAAAGGTTTTTGCAAATTCATAATAAGTATTAATTATTAGTATATTATCATATATTAGTCTTATGACTGTTGAACAAATTAAAAGTATAGGACTGTTTGTAGGACTAAGTTTTTTCAATGCATTTAAATAAAACCCTAGATTGTTATACCTTGTTAGATAGCTGATGAAACGTAGATATTTTATAACTTTTCTGCCGATCAACTGCCATAATATTTTTTTTAGATATCCCTTAGAGAAAAATAAACTTTCTAATTTTTTTTTTAATTTCTTAACTTTCTCTTTTCTACTACGGCGTATTGAATTAACTTATTCACTATTTTAATGATTGAGGTCCTAAAGCATCTTATCACACATATAAAAATGCAATAATTATAATAATAAGACACACAAAATAAACAAAATTAAATTTAGTAGCCTAAAAATCGGCAATTTTGAATAAAAAAAAATAAAAGTCAAATATCTCGAAAAGGGTTAAGTTTAGGGTAGGGTGTTTCATAGTAAAATAAGTCAGAAATGGTGAGTACTCCACGCCCTTAACGGATCTAGCACGACTTTTCCTGTAACCCTGTATATATATATATGATAATTCAATGTATATATATATATATATATTTACACACACATATATAAGAATTTCTATCTATTGAGTAAAAGCTACGCAGAAAGAAATTCGACAAATAATAATATACAGAAACGAATGATTATGAGCGTATTATACACATTCGACTCATGAGATATAAAAACATTTACAAATTATTCTTGCCTTAATTTTTCCATCTCCTCCAGAAACTTGACAGTTAATGTTGTGTTTTTTTTATTGTTAGATACCCAATTTGTGAGTATTACTTACTCATTCGCAGGTCCTACAGCGAGGTTCTTCCTTACTTTATGAAATCCCAAAAATCTGAAGTCAAAAAGTATAAGAATACTCCTTACAGTAATCGCGATGGCGAACTATGGATTGAAAATCCACCTTTCAGGTAAATTTGAAATTTGCAGCACGTCACGACATAAAAAAATGTTGCACTTTAATTGGTCTTATACATTTTTTCAGGACCGGTCTCGTTGAAGCTTTCCTTGCAGCAGGAAAAATTCATGGCCATCCCACATGTGACTATAATGCTCCTACACCAGACCTAGGATTTGGCTATATCCAAACAACTACTATTAAAGGTCATCGACACAGTACAGCAAAGGCCTTCCTACATTCTCACAAAAAACGAACGAATCTTCACATACTCACTGAGGCTAGAGCGACTAAAGTTATTATAGAACCACAAACTAAAAGAGCTTTTGCTGTTGAATATGTTAGAAATGGAGTAAAACACACAGTTCGTTGTCGCCGAGAAATCATTGTCTCAGCTGGACCAATAGCGTCGCCTCAATTGCTCATGCTATCGGGAATAGGCCCACAAGAACACCTTCAAAGTCTTGGCATAACGATAATTAAAGATCTCAATGTAGGAAGAACTCTCTATGATCATGTAACTTTCCCCGGGGTTATTTTCAAACTAAACACAACTAACGCCAGTCTTCTAGAATCTAAAATAGTTACATTACCTAATGTTATACAATGGCTTACATACGGCGACGGTCTTTTAACAAGTCCAGGAATCGTAGAAGGACTTGGGTACATAAAAACGTCTCAGTCTGATGATTCAGAGCCGGTTCCAGATATAGAGCTATTAAGCTTAGGAGGATCATTTTCAGCATCAGGTATTTTCAGAGAGAGCTGGAGAATATCGGATAAAGCATACTATACTGCTTACGGTTCATTAAGCGGCCTTGATACATGGTCAGCAATCCCATTACTTTTACATCCAAGATCGCGTGGATACGTCGAGCTACGAGACTCGAATCCATTCTCGCTACCAAAATTACACAGCGGATATTTCACTGATCCCAAAGACATAGCTACAATGATTGCAGCAATCAGATACATTATAAAGTTAGGTGAATCAGAACCTTTTAAGAAATATGGAGCTATCTTACACATGGCCAAATACCCTGGGTGCGAACACACGACTCCTCTTTCGGATGAGTATTGGGAATGTGCTATTAGAACAATGACTTTAAGTACACATCACCAAATGTCCACCTGCAGAATGGGTCCCCCGAATGATCCAGATGCTATTGTTGACCCGGAATTAAGAGTGTATGGAGTAGAAGGCCTAAGGGTAGTGGATTCGAGCGTAATTCCACGTCCGATTTCAGCTCATACGAATGCGCCTGCCATCATGATCGGTGAAAAAGCTGCAACTATGATTAAAAATACGTGGTCTAATGTGATATATTAATTGTAATATTATTAAAATTAAGTGTGGTATTCCCATTGTTCTAAGTATATATTTTATTAAAACTTTGAATTGGTAACAAAACGTGTTTCTCATGCATACTTATAATGTGAAAATTCTGCATATTGCAATCTCGCAGTTTATTTGGTAGGAAGTGTAAGTTTGTTTTTCTGGGTCAATTGCTATTGAGTCCAACCCTTTTTGGTTTAATAGAAAGGCGAATAAAGAAATCAGCGGACGTCGTTTGATTTCATTAAATAGGAACAGGGTGTGAGAAAGGGGTTGTGCCGCATCACGGTGCCGCAAATAATAAAATTAATGGTTCTGTACAGAGATCCATTAGGGAAGGAAAAAGTATTGAATCAGTTTCACGAAACTCGCGAGGAAAGGCTCTGAATCTCTGATGCAGCATAACAGATTCCGCCACGGTTTTTATTTTTTCAGTGCCGAGCGGAAGTAAGCTTTTGTACAGAGCCCCAGCTTGCGAACCGTCATGAATATGTGAATATAGAGAATACATAAAGTGACTTTAACTAAATTACTTTCTGCAGTAAAAGTATAATCCAAGTGTGCATAATTTTAATCCATTATTAAGAAGCTATTTTTTAATAATATTATTAAATTATATCTTTAAAAGTCTACAACACTTAAATCTAATCAAAATACGGATTTTACTAAGTTACAATATTGCTCGTACATTAATGATTCAATCAGGTTAACCTGGTAACTCCCCTAAGCTTAGTTAAAATTTGTATTATAAGTGTTAAAAGTCCGTCACTAAGTATACCAGTTAAAATAATGATTTACTCATTTGAACATTAGTTAACACATATGGATTGTACCATACATACACACGTAATGAATAATAATAAACGTAAATCACATAAAACAATAAATAATATTAACTGCCCGGTCCGAGGTCCCGGGTTCGATTCCCGGGTCGGGAGAAACATTTGTATGCCCTATTTTCTTTCTTTCTTTCGTGAGTACCGATGTAATTTGTGGTTGTCTATATGTGAAAAGCACTTTGAAAAGTTTGCTATTTAAAAAAAGCACTTAAGCAGCTTTTCAATTTAAGCGAAAGCGTTGGTCCGTTCATTACTCAAGTTTCATTTTTTACATCGTGCTTATGTTTCAAATCCCGCCATCTATGTTTCCTAAACAAATTAATTCGTCAATGTAAATAATAATTTTGTAAATAAAAATAAAACTCGTATTTTACAAATAAACTTATCTTAAAACCTTTAGTGGTCTACTCTGCTTTCGCTATCAACAGAACTTTATTTAACATAAAAAAATTTTTCCGTTTACCACACCTTTACCTCGAAAAACGTGTAAAGTCCCCAACCCGCATTGGACCGCAGAAACGTGCCCATAAGTGGGACGTCTGAATGGGTTGATGATGAACCACTTTTTGATTTAAATTTAACTTGGTATCTATTTGGCAGATCATTTATTGTTAATCAAATAATATGTAATCTGGAGCTCACAGCGCCATATTGTCATTGGGCAAATGCTGCCCTACACACAATGCGCGGACAAATTAGAGCTTCTGAACGTTTATTGACAGATTCTATTATAAACCAATTCAGTGTCTACGCGGTACGAGTCGAAGCATAAATAGTTAATAATTTTTTTAAAAGTTAATAGCGACGTTTCTAGCCAGGGCAGGTAGCTGTAAAGTTACCTAACTGGGTGACGAAATACTTCCATAGATATCCCATTGATAGCGCTACGGCTGAAAAGTCGTTGGAAACCAAATACAAAGATCCGATAAAGAACAAGCACATGGAAAAATTCGTGGGGTCCGCTAGTTCGTTCCGTGGCTTACTTGGCATAGCATCTGGTACGGTTTACTAGAAGACGTCGGTTCGAATCCGGCCGAATCGAATAATCTTTGTATTATTAAATTACAAACAGTCGAAACGCTACATATAGAGTATCATAGTTGGGTAATCTAACGTCTGAAATACATAGGTAACTCTCGGTAAAAGTCGGTAATGATGTTCGAGTAAATATGCGAGTTTAGTCAGATGAGTTCTCTAACTTTAATCAATGAACTTGGTTCCAGCTACAAACATACAAATTAGTTTCCGAGCAGTCTCGGTTCGTGCACCACGCTGTTATTCAATGTAGTAGTAACACTTCTAAAGTTTAGGTGTTCTTCATTTACTTTTAATTTCCATGTCTATAAACAGAACAATTAAATTAATGAAAAAACTTTAATTATGTAAGCTATTTATTATCGAAGTTGCTCTTTTTTCGGTACAGGATTATCTCTCATTCGAACTCTCTATAACATTCATTTATCATAATACTAGATTCTGGGTTCCTCTAGATGAATTATGTATTATACAGAATGGTGTTGCAAACATTGTGTATGGGACATTATGCACTGGTTTAAACTTTGTGTATTTTATCTCTTTATATTAAATCTTTATCTTTTATTTTTCAAAGAATAAATGCTATAAAGAGTTGGCTTCACGTGGCTTTACTACTTTTTCATATCCTGCATCTACCTACGCCACCGGAGCTAACAAAACAATAGAAAATACATTTTTGTTCTTAATTGCATTTAAATAGATCTAAGGATATCTACAAATTTGTAGCTTAGTAACTTGTATTGTTATCTCTGAGCGTTAGAGACCATGTTATGAATAGGCGACATAAAACGGCACCCTAAATCTGCAGCTTAACTGTTATTATGTAAGTAAACTGCGCAAGCTTTACGTAAAATATGTCATAGGCCCGTGAAGATTTACTGCGTATAATGTCGACAAGGACTGCAAAGAAGCAATGATTTATTGTATTGTGAATGTGTACCTGTTTATATTTACGTGCATGAAGTATAACTTAAGTTGGTAGGTGCCTTTGTAAGGGAACAGCCGATGTGTGAAACATTCTTCTACGCAATTCTTTGGTAGAACAAAATAACACATACTCCAGCAGATCATTAGTATAGTCCTCAAAATAATAATAATAATAAAACATTTATTCATAAGCACATTTACAATAAAAAGGTTAACAGTTAAGAGTGTTTGTGGACACTAGTGGCAATGAAAAGGATGGAACCTCAGCACTACTGCTTTTTTTCAGGTTCCACATTCATACATGGACATCCGCTGCTGACAATTGTCAAACCTCACAAGAATTACATTTTAAATTTGTAGGACATGCTTAAGATTAATTTATTGTTTCGATGAGCACACGAGTATATATATTACATGTAAAAGAACATTAAATACCGGATGCGAACGGTACTGGAACAGGTCTCAACTTCTTACATACTTATAAACGTACTTATGTGACAAATAAACTAAGAAGAAACTTAAAACAAAGAAAAGAAAATAATAGTACTGCATTTCTTCAAAATGCTTAGAGCCTATGCACACGACGTATTTTATACGCGCCGACGACGCGCGTTTCACGACAACGTGTTTACGGCGCCGTAGAGGCTCAAAAGGCAGATAGTCAGTCGCGTTTGTATCGATTCAAACGCGCGCAAATATCGCGTTGCAAACAAGAAGCTTATACATATACTCCACTGAAGTTTACACTTAGAATTTCATGTAGTTGCTTCATTTTAAAAACTAACTGAATTTAACAAACGAAACTAAAATTAAAACTATCTCTTATCAGAATGCTCGATACATACGCGCGAGTACAGCGCCCCTGGGGCTCGTATACGCGTTGTGTGAACAATCTAGGGTGCATTCATGATGGTATGGTGAAACGATCTCGTGTCCGGAACTCGACCACCAAGTGCCTATTTTGCGTGTGTAGTGCATTAATGATAAAAATCACTGGCAATGAAATAGTACATTTTGCACGCACATATTCATATATTTCATGTGTTATACGATGGGTAAATCATTAATTCTCATAGGCAACCATTCCGCGGGTAGTATTTACGAATGCAAAGCCTGCGGTAAACTGCGACCATAATGCCAAGCGCCGAACGTTTTAATGGGTTAACCTTTATTTACAGCAACTCAAATGTGAACTAATGGTAACAGACATAAATATGTTTGAGGTTCCTGTTTCTGTATGTATGACATACACAAACAGGGAATTGCACAACAAATTCTTACAAAAAAGGTTTAAGTGTTCTAAATAAAATATTGCAACTGGAAAAGAATGTTTATTTATTATTTATTTATTTATTTAATAACGTACCACGCCAGCACATCAAGCGACACATTGACGTATCTTTTTCGAACACAAATGTGTAGTCTGATGTACCGTTGTCCGTACATCCACATGTTTCTAAAATACTTAAATAATTATTTTAATTTCTAATACATGTCCCATTAAGGAGTATTTATCACATTAGATTAACAAACAATGTGAATTTGAAACAATTACACTTGAATTCATACGACTATAAACTAAATTTAATTATTGTTTATGAGATATGGTTTTACACCATCAATAGGCACTTACTTAATCAATACTAAAACATATTATTGTATATTATATTATATTACACTTAAATTACCTGATGACGATTGCAATATATGCATACTTATGTTGTTTGTGTCCTTATAGGATTGGAAGTTCAAATAATCAAGTTAGTTTCTCCTTTGACGTTCCAGATTCGATCCCCGGCCGGGTCAATGTAGAAACTAACTTTTCTATATGATCTCGGGTCTTGGTGTTTGTGGTACAGTCGTTGTTTTCATAAAATTAGTACTTTAATTACTTACTTTGGGACCAGAGTAACTTACGTGATATTGTCTAGTATTTATTTATTTGCTTATAATTATATGATGTGATACATCAGTCAGTGGATTGAAGACAAAATTATGTTTCAGGATGAAGTTTGTCGAACATATAAGTATACTAAAGAGTACAATGAAGGAATTTCATGCATCAATATTCCTTCAGTTTTAGCTGAAAAGGCCCAAAACCAAAGTTGTAAACATTTAAAGGTACAATCAAATTAAAAGTAACAATCAAATTGGGTTATTTGCTTTTATTGTCTGATAGCCGTAAAACCGCTTGCAAGAGTTGACAACCTTCGGTGAAGTCGGGCCATTTTAAATATTGCTTCAATTATTAT